ATACTCAAAAATTAAAAATTGAGTCTCTAGCTTAGAATCATAATCCTATAACCATAATAATTCATTTCTCATCCCAAATAATCATCTAAACCTCAATAATCAACATATATTTTCAGATCTAGTTTAAAATTTGATCCATAAGCCACAAATTCAAAGATCATCAACAAATTTATACTCTAGAACATTTATTATACTATTGACAACCTCAAAAACCATATTTATTCAATATAAATTCATCCCTCTTCCAGATCTTAAATTTTCTACCACTACAAACTCAGAAATCAAAGAAGAAGGATGACTAAGAAAATTTTTTAAAACACTTACTTAGTCTTGAAAAGCTTAAAATCACACCCTAAATATCCTATTAAAAACTCTTACCTTAAAAATTTAGATATTTCGCACCGGCGACTCACTTCTCTCCGCCTCAGCTCGCGCGCGGGAAAAGAATTGAAGAAATGAAAGGAAACGGGTGAGTTTTTATAAAAATTCAGTGGATCCCACATCTTTTTTTTATTATTATTTCTTCTTTTCTCTCTCTCCCTTTTTTTTATTATTTTATATTACTATTGATGCGGCGGCCGAAAGCAATTCTCTTTTTCTTCTTCTCTTCTTTTTTTTTGCATACCTTTTTTTTATAATAATAATTTAATAATATTTTTTAATTAATTAATTAATAATAATTTTTTTAATTAATTTTTTTAAAAAATTTTAATTTAGAATTATATCCTAATTTAGATTTAATGATCATTTTCTACTAATTTATTTACCTCTAAATATTTTTCAAAATTTTTATTAACCCAAATTAACTATTAAAATTTAAATTGGGATATTACATAAATATTTCCCCAAGTCTCCTGTAATTAGAGCAAATGTTAGCATTCATTTTCTGCCTTGAAGCTTCATAAAATTTATTCATACACCTAAGCATGACATCTATTTGGCAGTTAGAAGCTTCATCGAAAAGAACTAGGTCATTTGCAAAAAAGAGATGGGGCATTGTTAATCCATGGTTAGTAAATCTGAATGGCTTTCAGTTACTGTTATTGATTTCATCTTCAATAACATGACCAAATCTCTCCATACATAGGTTTAAGAGATATGGAGACATCGAATCCCCTTGGCACAATCCTTTCGAAGGTTTAATCTCTCTATAAGGTTCTCTATTCTATAAAACATAGAAGGTGGCACTTTGAACACACACCATAATAAGATTGCACAAGTTTTCCTTTACTCCTATGCTTTCCAAAGTGTTCTTGAGGAAAATCTACTCTACTCTGTCATAAGCCTTCTCTAAGTCTACTTTTATAGCTACAAACCCCATTTTGCCTTTCTTCAATCTCATAGAATGAATAATTTCCTGTACCATAATTATGTTGTTACTACTCTGTCTCCTTGGAATGAAGTTACATTAATGTTCTCCAGTAAGCTTAGCCATCAAAGGTTTAAGCCTATTAGAGATTATCTTAGAGATTATTTTGTAGCTCACATTACAAAGTGAGATTGGCTTTAAATCTCTCATGGATTCCACATGTTCAACCTTAGGTATGAGGTTTAGGTGGGTTTTAATTCAGCTTACCCACTTTAGCAAGGTCATTAAAAGCATCCTTCACCATATTAACAATAGCCTCGCCCAATATGTCCCAATATGGTTGATAAATAAACGCTCGAATACCATCAGGGCCCAGGGCTTTATATCCACCCATATCAAAAACAGCCTTTTTGATTTCCTTAACGCTAATATCTTTATGCAAGGTAGAGATCTCCCATTTCTCTAGGGCTAGAAACTTGGACTCAGTTCTCAAGATTCTGCTATAGTCACTCTTGAACAACTCCTCATAATAATTGCAAGCAAGATTTTTAAGTTCCTCCCTCTTTAAAACCCAATTGCTTGTCGAATCTTTAAGAGTAGAAATCTTGTTCCTTTACCTTCTAATAACTGTACTACAATGAAAAAATTTACTATTTTGATCCCTCCAGGCCAACCAATTACTTGACTTTTGCTATCACATTAGCTCTTTTTGATATAAGGTTTTGTTATATTGATCCCAAAGCTCTTTTTCAATTTGTCTGGGTATTGACTATCCCTAGTACTCTTTGCTCTATCCACTCCTTTTAATCTTCTAATCAAACTGTGTTTTTTTGCAAGAATATTACCAATATGATTAATATTCCAGTTCAATGCAGATTGTTGAAAGGAAGAAATCTTATCAACCCAGGAATCACCAACCTAAGCATTTTTAACTAAATTATTAAAGTCCTCCCTAACACACCATATTGCATTACATCTGAAAAGTTGTGGCCTTCTATGCTCATATGGCTTGGGAAAAGTGCTCACAAAAACAAGGTAATTGGCTATAACTTAACCTCGGATATAATATGACCTAATCTGACCCTTCGCTTTCTTACTTAGTGAAACTCATAAATGGGCTTCAATATTGGGCCTTTTTTCACATAAGAAGGGTATCCAAACTCATTAGCTTCAATTTTTCTTAAAATACAATTTAATTATTAATTAAATCTTATAATTTTTTTAGATTAAATTCTTAACTAAAAACTTAATTTTATTATTTCCTTAAATTAACTTTTCAAGTAAAACTAAGATGCTACACAGTGGATAAGAAGAGGGAAAACTCCGTTAGCTTTCTGCTCAGGATTAATATTTTTAAAAGCCGAAGTACATGTACAAAACCATGAGATAATCATTCCTAAGAACTTATGCTTACAATCACAGATAAGCTGGATCTCTAAGCTCAATCAAGACAAGCTTAATGAGTTTTTCTTTCTTGCCGGAAAAAAATAGCTCAATGATAATTACATATTCTCTTCGTTTTTTATTATAAGGAAAAAAAAACCCCTTTCATATAATTTTAGAAAATTAGATAACCTCAATAAATATGCTTGAAATTATTTCATTTGGACTAAAATGCCCTTCTAAAAGTTAAACCAACTACTACTTCCTTCTCTCATTTAATATGCTTTATTAGTAGTTTGGGAACATTACAATTAACATTCCTTTAAACTAGGTATTTTCCTTATAAAAAAAGACAAGTCAACATATATATTTTTCCTTATAGGAAAAGACAGAGGGAGTATCAAGCTTACTTTTTTCTTATAGAAAGGTTCTTTTTATTTGTTATTTCTGTAACTATGAATTCACATCAAAATTCTTTGTAACCTGGTTAACAAGATGCATTTTTTAAGCATTTGTTATTACATTTGCTTTACCACATATTGCAAATAACAAATTAGAGACTTAAGATCTATTTCAAGGCTTAGGCCCCTTTTCTTTCAATAATAACAAGCATTATCTCATTGGGTAGCATTAATTACATGGATATCTTTTTTGTTCGTGGGAAAAAGAATATTAGAAATGTCACTTAACAAAACTTGCATATGAATTGCATTCATTCATGATATTGCATATAATTTCTGGTCCTGATGCTAGGGAATATATTGAACCTTAACTACAATAATGTAAATTTGAAGGGCTGAAAATTAAAGCCGTGTCTGTAACTTATGGGGATAGTTGTTGAAAAATGAGCATAACATGTCACAGATTTATAATTGCTATGGGCTTCAATTACAAGTTGGACCAATAAATGTGTCAACATATTAGAAGAGCGAAACTTTACAATGCCCACAATAATTTAAAATATCAAGTCCATTTTAAGTTTCTAACTAATCTTTCATTTCAAAATGATGCTCTCTCCAGTTAAAAATGTAAGATATTTTTAATCAAATTTTATTTTATAATAAAGTAGTTATCTACTTACAAACTAATTTTATTTTTTTATATTTACTCTTATTAAATACTCTAAAATAAATATAAAGTCATTTATTAATATATAGGGCACTTTTGAAAAAAAAATAATAATTATATCTCAAAAGATTAAAAATACCTTGCATTTTTTAACATTTAACATTTTAAAAAAATACTTTATATTTTTAAATGAAGGAAGCAACATTTTGCCATGCTAACTTCAATGGTAAGAGTGGGGTGGTGTGGGGTAGAAGTCTCTGTTAAAGATTGAAATCCTCCTAATATATCAAAAAAGAAAAAATTCTTAACATTTTGGAGTTATAGTTTTGTTTCAAATTGATTAATTGACTATCACCTTAAATTCTATAAAACGTTAAAATTTGTCTTCTTTGTTTTAGATATTGGGTTACATAAGGGCGCTTGCATCAAGTTGGCTTATGGTTTTCTTTGGGACAGACTTATGGCATGGCAAGAGTTAGGATTTTTAGTAACTTGGGTTTAGTTTGTACCCTTTTATTTGCTAGAGCCTTTTTCACTTCAATGCTAGACTTATAACTGGTTACTAGTTTCTAAGTCCAGCCTAGGATTCCACCGTTTTATTTTGTTTAATAGAATAAAATAGCGTAATTTATATACTTAATTTCATATATTTAATATATTTATCAAGATATGTGTAGTTTTTATAAATTTTTAGTATTTATACAACAAAATTATGTTATCAATATCATTAATGTTAGATGTTTTAAATTCACATATTCTGATTTAGCTAAATACAAGTATATTGTACATATAAAGTTAAAAACATAAGCCTTGTCATTATACTTATTCAAAGTAGTATTTATTTAAAATTTTTAGGTGAAATTCAATAAGCTTATATCTCAAAATTTACGTTTCAATATTATTTTTGTAAAGTTTAATAATTTTTTTATCGTTAAAGAAAAGAATAATTCGTTGGCCTGTATGTTTTGTGATAGATATTTTGATGATAAGAAACTTTAAATTGTAAATAAATATTTCGTTAGAGTAAAATAAAGTTTTAATTATTATTTGGACTTAATGATTTTTTGCACAAAATTTTGGAGTTTTTTTGCCAACAATTTTTTTTATACTTAATTGCATGTAATCATGTTCGCGGGCCTGATAAAATTACATTGTTACGGTGGAAGTATAATAAGCCCCATCTTCCTCATATTGTCTCCCCTGTAATCCCTAACGGCTTCGTTGGCTAATGCGAGGACTTTCTCCGAGTCTGAGAGATCTGTTCTTGCCAGTCGAGCATCGTGAATCAGTTTAGAATGTATGACGAAACTGCATTTCTTTCTGAAGAAATCATCAGAAACATTCTCAAACGACTTCCTGTGAAGTCCCTCATCCGATTTCAATGTGTGTGCAAATATTGGAAAAATCTCATCAAAAGCCGATCTTTCATTGTCGATCATCTTCAACACTCCAGTCATCAAAACCCTTCTCTTCTTTTAAAACGGAGTTCTTTGCGCTTGAGTTTGCTCGATTGCGGGCTGCAAGTCCGTCCACTTCTGAACGCCCCTCCGGTAAATTCCTTTAATCAAGCTAGAATCGTGGGTTCTTGTAATGGCTTGCTCTGTATTGAAATCAGTCAGTATAACAAATTTCCTCCTTCCCTTTTATTGTGGAATCCTGCAACTAGAGCGTACAGTTATGTGCCTTGGAGAACTTATGCTGACTCTGACGAATGCAATGTAGGATTTGGGTGCAGTCCAATTGCTAATGATTACAAGATAGTGAGAGCTTATTCTGACTCTGAGTTTGATGATGCGGTTAATCGAGTGGAGGTGTTTTCATTAAGCAGAGGGTCATGGAAGGGAATAGAGCTAGGGAACTTAAAGGGGGTGAAACTTTGTTCTGAAAGTGTCACGCGTGACGGAGCTGTATTTTGGTTTGGGGTTAAGTTCGGTGCGGAGGAAATGGGTGAAGATGATGGTGATGAGGTTAAAGATGATCCTGAGGATTATGGATATGAAGCTGAGGGGTATGAATATGATATTGAGGAGGATGAAGATGATACTGAGTGGGATGAATATAATATTGAGGAGTATGGATATGATACTGAGGAGGTTGAATATGATACTGATGGAGTTGATATTAAGGAGCGTGAAGAGGATGCCGATGTGATAGTTTCATTTGACATCGCAAAGGAAGTCTTTACATTGCTGCCAAGGCCTGATGTAGACTATAATCAAGCAGATGAAAAGCTTACAGTATATGATAACAAACCTGCTATACTTTGTGACAATTGGGAAGATGATGATGATGATAGATCAGGTTTGATTGATTTGTGGGTGATGGAGGAGGGTACACGTGCAGTTGGGGAGAGATGGAGTTGGGCTAAAATATATACTAGCAGTCCTTGTCCATACACATTAGAATCGATGACTATTTGGAGGAACCAAATTGTCTGCAAAGCTTCTTCTAAAGATGATAATTTGAAAGGAAGAGATGTTCTATATCTGTTGAATATCATTACTAATGAAGCTAAGAGGTTTGATATTCCCAATTGTGGCTATGGCTATGTTCATAGTATGTGCAATTATGTTGAAAGCTTGGTATCACTTGGCACCTACTGCTGATTCTAAACCTTAATTGTTACGTTGCAGATTTACTTTGTTTTAAGTACTTTTGGTGGAAAGGAACCTCTAACAGTTTAGTTCATTCTGTACCTATACTATTTGATGCCTCTTGGAGATGATACCTAGAATGATGAATGCAGATAGTTAACACCAAATGTACTTATAATTCTGGGCTTGTTTTTCGTTAATATACCTATGTTTATTTTTTATTATTATTATTTTTGTGGTGAAAAATGTATCACTTGTTTTATTATCTTGTATGTGAGGCAAGGAAAGTATTGATGCCTTTTCCCCTCTTTCTGTTGCTCTAAAGTGTAAAGTCTAAATTAAAGATCTCTTGGTAATTTTCCTTCCCTCCCCTGCTCCTTCCGGATCCGAACAGGTGCTCAAAATTGTTTGAAGGGCAAGATTTGAGGCCTATGGACATAGCGAAATGAGCAGAGGACCCCTTTATGAATATTGGTCTGCTAATGGTTGGCTTGAAAATGATGTACAACCTCATGATCAATCGGTTGAGGCTGTGAAGAGTGAGAATTGGAAACCCCCCGACTATGGCTTTGTTAAATGTGATGTTGATGCTGCGTTTTGTGCTGAATCTTTCTCTGCTCGTCTCAGTGCTTTATTTAGGGACTATAGAATTTCTCACAGGTGAACGCATCAAGTGGGATAAAGGCTTGTTGTTGTTGTTGTTGTTGAACGCATCAAGGCTGATTCCAGTTTTCTCAAGCAGGCTCTTCTTTTAGCTCAAGCGAAGGGTATTGGTTCTATGATTGTTGAATCAGATTGTAAGATACTTGTGGACACTATCAATTTTGGCTTTCTGGATCTGTTCTGCTCGTGGTGGATGGGATTCCTCCCCCCTCAAAAAAAATGGTTTCTTTGTTACTTCTGATAGGAATGCTGTTGATTCTCGCATTGTACATTTTCCTAGTTGATTAATGAAAATGCATTTCCTTTGACAAAAAAAAAAAGGAGCCGAGATGAAAATACCCTTCAGCCTTGTTACTTTATATGCTTTGCATTGAATTTAAAAATAAATCATACTCCCTTCATTTCACAATATAAGCATTTCTGAAAAATAGTTATTTCATGTAATTTTTTTTTTTTGGGTCGAAGATTTATTTCATATGGTCTTTTACAAGTTCAAAGCAACATTTATGAATATATTTCTGATTTGGCCCTTTTACTCCAACAATTTTAAATGATGAGCAAATTTAGGAGCATCTATTGTTATGCATTTATTATTTTTTATAATTCATTGATAATATATAATTTATTACAGTTTTTTTGTATGGAATATAGATTCAGTTATATATTACAAATATTATCAAATATAAAATTGTGCATATAGAACATGTTCATCATCATCATCATATAATAATAATAATAATAATATTATTATTATTATTATTATAATTAATTATACTTATTATTATTATTATTATACTTTTTTCTCCTAGCTCAAGTATATATTTATTAGAGGCAATTTTATTTGAGAAAAAAACTTGATCGCACTCGCAATTATATGAAATCATAATAATAAATTATTTGAAATATTTCAGGTGTCAAAGCCATAGAAAAGTTATTCTTTTACTAATTTAAATAATTAATAATTCAAGAAAAATAGATAAAATGGATTATTTGATGAAAATATAAAAATAAATTAAGAAAATAATGGTGATGAAAATATAATCACTTAAAGCATTGGAGCTAGTGTTTACCCTTTGAGTTGACTCTTTAATTAATTATATTGATAATTATTTTTAAAATATCTTAATATTCTCCTGAATTATTGGTCTTTTTTTAATTAATGTTGCATTCATTTCCATGATACCCAAGCAATTAATTAAATTATAAAGTTATAGTTTAATTCACCACTAATTTCTAGAACTATCTTTAGCTAGTTATTTATGTCTATTTCTCTAGATCTAGGTTCTCTCTTCACCTCCTAGTCTATCAAAATATATTCATAAATTTAATTAAATAGTGGCCAGTCATAAAATCAACATGAAGAACAAGAGAAATAAATATAATTAAAAAAATATTCATAAATATAAATGTAAAGAGTCAAAACAAAGAAAATAAAAAACTAACTCCAAGTTGGGCTACAGCTCTGCCCCAACTAGGTAATTTAAAAAAATATAATAAAATTAAATAACACTATTTTAAAATCTCTAATCATGAAAAACAATCATAGAAAAAAATTAAAGAATAAAAAAAAATAATTATGATTTGTAGAACTCCTCAACAATGTTGCTTTCAGCCTTCAGAATGCTTTTGTTGGCTCTAAATATCTTAGAAAAAATTCTTGAAGTACTCAGATAAGTGATTGGATGCCTTTTTTTTTTATGGAGGGAAATATTTATAGTTAAAGTGGAGGCTCATCCTCTTTTGCCCAGTCGATGTGAGATTCTAATATATATATATATATATATATATTATTTGCCTCATGATATGATATATGAAAATTTGCTCATTCAATATATATATATATATATATATATTCTTTTCTTTTTCTACATTTTCTTCCTTTACTTAATTTATTAAACATTAAATGTGAATACCTCTCATAGTGAGTTATCTTGATTTATCATGTTGTGAAGGATTAGCCTATTTCACTATACCTGACCTTTATCAATAGCATCCTTACTTTTGAGATTGAATTGATGGTTTTATGTTTATTGCATTTTGCTTTATTATTGGCATGTTTAAATTTTAGGCAAAGAATCAAGTTTGCCCTTGAAGTATTTTTGTGAGGAACAATTTTACTCTTAAAACTTTTTTTTGGTCCAATCTTATCCTATAACTATTTGTTTGAGCTCAATATTACCCCTTTATAAATTGACCAAAATGTTGACCATCAAGTAAGAAGTTGGGGAAAGAGCTTTAAAAATTAATGGATTCATTTTATTTTTAAAATATTCCATGAGGAGCACTCAACCCAACAAAGTCTTTTGTAGGTGCAATCTTGCCCTTAAATTACTTTTTTAGGCTCAATATTGCCCTTTTGTATAGACTCGTTACTTCCGGTGAATTAAATGTTAGTTGGCACCCTCCACTTGAATCATCTTCAGCCTCCATTTAGCATTCTTATCGTCTTCTACCTCCATTCAATGTTCTTGTCGTCTTCCAACTCCTGATGTTATAAAGCTTTTGCTTTTAATTATGAACAGGCAAGTTGTGAACATTATAAAGCTTTTGCTTTTCATATAAAAATGTTATCGGACGCCATGGAATTATATGTAGAGTCTTCATATATTGAAAGCATTATACATCTAGCTTTTTATATAAATTAATTAAAAACATATCTTTACTTCACAAACGATTGAAGGCGGTGTAATGGAGGTGGAAGGCAATGAAAACGCTGGATGGAGGCTGAAAAAGAGTTGAGTGGAGGGGGCCCACCAACGTCTGATTCACCAAAACTAACGAGTTTGTGTACGGACGGTGGGTGTGTTTGGATTTCAATTAAAAAAAATTGATTATAGAAAAAATTAATCATTAGAATGTGATGATGTTTGGATAAATTTTTAGAAATTGATTTTGATAAATTGAATATGTTTGGATGATTTTTTGAGAATCAATTTTGAATGTGCAAATAAATGATATAAGAAAATGAGCCAAATGGAGTTTTGCAAATGGAAGAAATTTCAACTCTTCTAAAATGGAATTTCCTAAACCAAATGAAGTTTTATAAAATGAGGGTGTTTGGATAAACTTTTGCAAAGCCATAATTTTGATCTCAGAATTGATTCTCAATGGGTATTCAAACAGGCCCAGTAACGTTGAGCTAAAGGAAAAAAAGAGAAAAGGTTTAGGCATGATTGGTTCCACAAAAGATTTCATCGCGTTGAGCAAGGTACTTAAAATTGGATTGATCATTGAATCGATCAAGGCATTGAATCACTGGTTAGCGGTTCAACTAGAGGTCAAGTCGGTTATGATTAAAATAATATAATTTAAATAAAAAGATATTAATTATAAAAATATTTAACCAAATTCAAGATTAATCTCTAATATAAAATATCAATATAACAATGATTATAAAAATATAACCACAAAAGACTAACAATAATAAAAAATAACAATAAACAAAAACAATCAGAAATGCTAAGCAATAATAGACAAATTAATAACAGCAAATAATGAAGAAATCACTTATTCTAAATTAAAAATGTAGAGAAGGAATAGGCATAGCAATTAGAAAACTAATAACTAGATAACAAAGAGATTCATTGAGAGAGATAGAGGATAGCAACGTTATGATGAGTTCGGCTTCACGGCAAGTTTTACTTCACGACAAGAGAGAGGATAGCTGAGAGCGACATGAGTTATGCATCACGATCATGGTAAGTTCTACAACTCAGCTATATAGCAAGTTTTTCACTTCTGCTATACAACGAGAGAGATAGAGTTCAAACTAGGAAAGCGAGGAGCCTAGAAGAGCAACAATAGTAGAACGGGCAATGATAATGGTTGATGACCAACAGGTGAGGTTCGATTTGAGCTAGGGCTAGAGATCAGTTTTTAGAGCTGGTAGGGGTAGGGTTTGATCGATTGATTTCAGAATTTAAAAACAAAATCAGCGAAGCCTTTTTTCCCTTTTGCTTTTTCAATTTTTTCTTTTAAAAAAAACCTTAAAACATCATATTTTAAAGGGCAAAATAGAAATTTTTGGGGTTTTTGAAGGGCAAAATAAGTGACCCAATTGACCCACCTAACCCATCGAGTTATCCAGTTTACACCGACTTGATGTCGGGTTGGTCGGGTCATACTAAGTCACTCGTTAACTGGGTCAAGATAAAAACTGAATCGGTGGAGAGGTTGAGTCATTGGTTCACGGGTTGACTTGACCGGTACGGTTCAATTTTTCATACAATGGTGTTGAGTGTTCCTGGTGAAACACTTTAGGAATAAAATTGATTCTTTAATTTTTAAAATTCTTTTCTCAACTTTATATTTAATAGTCAACGTTTTAGGCAACTAATGGAGAAAAGCACTAAATTCAATAAAATAGTTGAGGGACAAGATTGGATCAAAAATAAATTTCAATGGTATTCATAAGCCTAAATTACTCTCAATAACCATTACACAGTCTCAACTCATTCCCACAGACCCTTTTGAAGCCCTCAAAATCCCTTATTGGCGCTAAGCTATGATTGATGAATACACTGCCCTTTTGAAAAATAATACTTAGACTCTTGTTTCCCCTCCTTTTAACATACTTGTGATCGGCTGTAAATAGGTTCAAAATTTTGATGATATGTTGAATAAGCATAAGGCATGCTTAGTTGCAAAAGGGTTTCATCAAACTCATGATTTTGATTACAATGAAACATTTTCTCCTGTTGTTAAACCCATTACCATTTGTATTGTTTTGACCTTGGCCTCACATAATTCCTAGTCAATTTCACAACTTGATGTGAATAATGCTTTCTTAAATAGTGCACTTGATGAAGAAGTGTATATGAGACAACCTCTTGGTTTTAAGTCTTCTAATCCATCTTTGGTGTACAAGTTACATAGAAGTCTCTATGGATTGAAACAAGCTCCAAGAGCTTGGTTTCAACGACTAGCCTCAGCTCTACAACAATTTGGTTTTGTATCCAATAAGTGTGATGCATCTTTTTTTATTCATCACTCTTCTCAAGATACTACTTACATTCTAGTCTATGTTGACAACATCTTAATCATTAGCACTCCTCCTACTATATTTGATCGTCTTAAAAAGTGGCTTAATGATAATTAAATTTGCCTTGAAAGATCTTGGTGATTTGCATTATTTTTTGGGCATTGAGGTTAAATGTCCTACTGTTGGTCTATTAACTTTGTCTCAACTCAAATACATTCATGATCTTCTTACAAGAGCTGACACGCTTCACTCTAAAGGTGTTGTCACACCCTTGACTACAACTGTTAAACTGTCCCATTTTGATGCTACCATTTTTCCTAATGCTCAACTGTATCATTCTATTATTGGTGGTTTGTAGTATGTTACAATCACCAG